AACTCGTTGAACTTTGTCGCTGAAAAATTTGATGGGCTACTCTTGCTTGTACGTTTCTTTTCATTCGGCAAGATATTGTTTAAAGTCTTCCACATTTCCTTAGAGTTTTGGTCATCTGAGAGCTTGTTAGAATAGTAATTGCATTTCTCTTTAAGCATTTTGGTGGTGACAGCATTGCGTAATCTTTTGTAATTACTCCAGTGTAGCTCATTATTTGTTGATATYGCTTTCTTGTGTTCATAATCACGCTTATGCATGAGATCGTTAATCTCAGGCGTTAACCAGGGCACCGATCTTCCCCGAACACGCCGTGTTTCAATTGGTGCGTGTTTGTCAGCAGCTGTCAGGAATAGATCTTTGAAAGATACCCACGCCTCATTGGGAGTTTGTTCAAGTTCCAAAATATCCCAAGGGATATTTTTTAAATCATCACAAAACAGAGCGGGGTTGTAGTGTTTATAATTCCTGATTTCTATCATTCTTGGTGGTGGAAGACGGCCTCTGTGAAGTTTCCTAATTCCAAAATAGCCGAATGATCGGAAAAACCGATCGGTAAAACTCCAGATACATAGAGTTCGGACATAGAAGTAAAAATTAAATCAATTAAAGTTCTTGAGTTTTGGGTGATCCTTGTGGGCTCGTTGATTAATTGCTTTAAATTTAGAAGATTCATGGTACGCTGGAAATGTTTTGTTGTCGCATTTGGTGAGATGTAGTCAAAGTTAAAATCACCGAGAAGGACTGTTTCAATACTTTCATTTGTTCGCTGATTTAACATTTCTTCCAAACTCTCCCTAAAAGTTGATGGATCGAGATTAGGTGGTCGGTAGATGGCTCCAAAAAGGATCTTTCTACTATTCGGTTGTGATAACTCGAACCAAAGAGCTTCGATATCGTCGGCGCTGATGTCCATGCGCTCAGGATTTAGATTTTCGGCTATGTAGACAGCAATGCCACCCCCATGTCGATCTCTGTCTCGTCTCAGTATCTGATAGCCCGGTAAATAAAGTTCAGAGTCCAGGAATGAATCGTCGAGCCAAGTTTCGTTCAAGGACAGGACGTGAGGCTTGTGCTTGTCACAAAACAACCGCACCTCATTCAACTTATTTCTCAGACTACAGATGTTTATATGAAATATCCGAAGACCTTTCTCCTTCAGAGGCTGTGATGGACCAGGTCCTGGGTTGGGAGAAACATCGTTGGCCAAGAGAACTAGACTTCCAGCTAGGGTGATATTCAATAGCTTCGTGGCGAGAACCAGCTTTGTGGCCGGCGCCATTTTAGAAGGTTTGGCGCTTGACTTCGGTTGAGAAGGAGCAGAGTCGATTTGAGGCCGGCTTTGATCCTGAGCCATTGACAAAAGTGGTAAATTCCCATTCATAGGCAGTTTGGGAACATTTACGAAGAGATGAGCAGCGATTTGACTGACCAGGAGACATATTATCACGGAACCAGAAAAACGTGACCGGCCCACCATTATGCATAACTAAAATTCATATAACTAAAATACACCAACACTCATATTCCTAGTTACGACTTAACAGTCCACTAAGGCCACATACTTAACTGCAAGGACATGATTGAGCTTCTTGTTCTGGGTCTAACTATTCATTCAGTTAAAAAAAAAACCCATATACACCTCTTATACAAAAGTAATGAAAAAAAATTGCAGCATTTCATTTATTTTTCTTTCAAAGTTTCATGGAACTTTTATGTGAAAGTTCATGCAAAAATTCTCAGCTGTACATCGCTTCATTTCGCTACAAAAAAGAGTGATATTTCTTCAAATTTTTTGTTACCAAATGAAAGTTTGTAATGAACAGCTTGGGAAAAACAAAAAATTATCTGCAGGACATGCTCAATCTACCAGTCATACAATGAGCACGAAACAAGAGATTATAATCTCAGTATCCAGTCAAGCGGCCGGCAGTTCAACTCTCCAATGCCAACTCACCGACATATAAAATTGAGTGGAGACTTTTGCGAGTTGGTCCTCAATCCAGTACAACTTATTAGAAGTTAAACACATATAGAAAAGTAAATGATCTTTTTTAGTAAAATAACATTTTTTCTTCCAACAAAGTTTATAAGGATCTCAAGGTGAATAAAGCAAGATAAACATCGCCAATTACTATAACAGCTTCAGATGCAAACGAGTTATTGTGTGACAACAACACCGTAAAGACTCATCATCTCAATCAGTCAGATTTTTTTAAGAAAACTTGGCTTTCTAGACAAGATCTTTAATAAAAAGCAATTCTTTTTATTTGCTACAAAGTCTATAATGATCTCAAGACGAATAAAGCAAAGTGAACATCGCCAATGACCAAAAAAGCTGTAGAAGTGAATGAGTCATTGTGTGACAACCACAGCAACCATGCAGAACCAGGTTTTTTTAACTTTAAAGAATGATTTAATCATGATCAAGAACGTTTGATTTACCATAAAATTTCATATATGTGACCCTGCATGGGAAAACGGACACTAACGCTATTCCATTAAATGGTCTAGAAAAACAGTTTTTATAAACGGATAGTACATGGTTAACTGAAGCGTTTAAAGGGTTTCCATAACCACTTAAATGGATGGCAAAAAATTTAAACGGTTGACCAAAGTCCAAAAACGGATAGCTTAGGCCTTCAAACGGTTGACCACAAATAAAAACGGATAGCTTGAAACATTAAACGGTTGACCAAAGTCCAAAAACAGATGGCTCACATTGATAAACTGTTGACCAAAAATAAAATTGGTTAGCCCAAAATGTTAAACGGTTGACCAAAGGCCAAAAACAGATAACTTAAACCAAGAAATAGTTGACTTGCGCATTTTATTTCTGGGTTAACTACTGCTGTTTTCGTGTGACATTCATGGAATAAGTGCAATTTTACTGAGAATAGTTTCACTGCCAAATATCCTGAATGGCTACTACGAGAAACTCATAATCTTCTCCTTTGTTTATTCTTATTATTATTGAAAATGAACTTCATGTCTTTTTGTTCGAAGTTTCGTGAAACAAATTTGCATATGCAATACCACCACCTTGTCAGAAGCCACGACGCTTTAAGGTCAAATAACACAACAAAGTTCCATTGCAAATAAAAGGTCGAGTCGAATCAGTGTCATGCACCAAGCAGGGCCGTTGAAATGATTGTCAATAACACCAAGGAAGATGAATCAAGATGACATAAACAGAAAGAGAGTGGATGATTTAGCAGTCCAATTTGGCAGTCCATTGACAAGGGGTCTGCGAAATAAACCAACCCAGCTCACTCCGGCCGAAACACACCCCAACAAATGTTAGACAACATAAGGTCAGTTCAACTTTATTTACACTACAAGGAATGAGCAAGCTTATTTACATGTTTGCTAAGGTGACACTTCAAGTTAATTTTACTTTTAATAGACTTCCACACTTTTTCTTCCTCCATGGCAGATTCAATTGGAAAACAGCTAAACACTAGCACCTTCAAAGCTTAAAGTTTTGTAACACCTAGCTGCTGTTTATTGTTGGAGCCGTCAGTGTTGCTATTGCTCAGCTCTTCCAAGCTAAAGGTATGAAGAAAGGCAAAAGTTTCAGAGTGCATCTGTTACCGCGGCAGAACTATGGTTTCTGGCTTTGAACGGATTGGGCATTTGCGCTGACATTATATGACATGCGAAGTGGGAAGCTTTGGGGCCCGGATGTGAGCACATGGTCTTGAGTTAAAGTTTTGGCAACAGAAAACATTTAGTTTTAAGTTACTGTTAAATTTGTAATGAGTTGGTAATTTGGAAAATGTGGTAGAATAAAAATATAACTGCATCAGTGCCTCTCTTTTTCCTTTTCCAAGATGTCTCGCACCCCTTTTGATTTGCTGGGTGTCACCAACAATTGTATGACGTCTTCACCGACTTTGTAGTCCTTGAGGGTTGATGACTGGAGTGCCAGTCAAACAAAATCGATGCCAGGGTCATGGTCAAATGAATGGCTTCACTGCAATTGGCTCACGACACTCTAGGCTTTACAAACAGATATTTTAAGTTAACTTGTTTGTCAAAGGATGCAATGGTTACTTGCTTTCTATGATCACACAAAAAACAAAAACAAAATAAGATACAGTTGTTCTGTATTTCAAGAACCGGCGAGTATTGAGCAAATGTAAGATTGATACTTTGAACTGCTCATAGCAGAATGATAAACAAACAGTCTAAAGCTTTCCCTGGAACATAATGCAGATAGCTTTTTTTTAAACGGATAAGCAAATCATTCAAACATTTTTTTTTACAGCATTAAATGGATCCAAATTTTTTTAAATGGATCCAAATTTTTTTTAAAAAGATGAACAAACTGCTTTAACGTTTTGGCAAAAGTGTTAAACTGATGCAAATTTTTTAAACAGATAAGCAAACTGCTTAAACGTTGTAGTTAAAGCGTTAAACGGATGCAAATTTTTTAAACTTGTTTGCACCTGAAGCTGTTACAGTAATTGGCGACATTTATCTTGCTTTAATCACCTTGAGATCCTTATAAACTTTGTTGGAAGAAAAAACTTACTTTTTACTAAAGATCGTTTACTTTTCTACATGTTTGACTTCTAATATGTTGTACTGGGTTGAAGACCAACTCGCCAATGTCTCTACTCAATGTTATACATTGGCAAGCTGGCATTGGCGAGCTGAACCATCGGCAACTTGACAATAATTCATAATCTCTTAGCATGAAACGTTTCAAACATTTGTGTGAACTGTGTTCTTTGTGTTCTGATTAGAGCCACGATGCATTAGTAGAAAAAAAATTTAGATTACAGAAAGAAGGAAGAGTCCAGCAAATAGCTATGAAGCCCAAGGGACAAAAGTGTTTCACAAATTCAAGAAAGCATCAAATAGAAGGGAAATTGAATGGACAGCTAAACACATTAAACTAAGTTGGATAAAGTCATGCACAAACTGTTTCTCAGTTAGAGATCAAATGGAACTTTTCTCAGTAGTTATAAAACTTTGGATGTTTGCAAGCTCAAGGAAATAGCTCTCTGCTCTTTTCAAAATTTTTCTTAACAAGTTATTCTGTAATCAACAATGGGTGTAAAATGCATGTTAGCCCACCTCCGCTTTCATGTGGTTGGTATAATCACAGTTTTCATTGTGTTGAAATTTAAAGTTAAGAGTTTTGCATTGTTTTGCTGTGGTGAGAAGGATTTCACTCCTTGGTTTGACTTAAGGCTTTTTGGAATACGACTTCTTCAGTTTTCTGTCAGATTTAATTTTAATTAATTTTGTTTTTTTATAAACACGTATACCTGATAGCTAGTTTATTTCTCAAATGTTGTCATATTTTTTATTGGTATATACTAAAACAGTGGATAGCGTTGAAGGCGTGCTCTGATTGGCTAGTCAAACTCTGAATATCCTTTGCTATTTACCTTTGAGCAATTCAGGAAAAAATGGCATCCCGGTTTGCATCCGTGACAAGCGAAGAAATCACTCAAATTAATGACGGTGGTGTATATTATCTCACTGTTTTAGTATATACTAAAACAACTATTCACCTCAGTGTCGGTGGTTAGCGGTGGATATTTACCTCACCGCTTCGCAGCTCGGTAAATATCCACCACTAACCACCTCCACTTCGGTGAATAGTTGTTCAATATATCAATTGGTAACAGGACTCTATGTGGTCCAATTCTGTTCATAATTATTCTCATAAACAACAGACTCCTGCTTTGAGGTCATCTGATTCTGTTACTCGCTTGTATGATCACAGACCAAATTGGACTCTACCCGGTCCTAGTACCATTACTAATTTTTATTTCGACACTTAACTCTTAGCAGAGTTAACCGTTGATTTACCGGTTGACAGTTATTTATGTGCTTTCATTCTTAGAGAACGTGCTACTTACACAACTTAAGCTTATGAACATAGCTATATTTACCACATCCATTAGGTCCAATAACAGCTGTGAAACGCTTGAAAGGTCCAATAGTGTGTTTTCCTTTATAGGACTTAAAATTTTCCAACTCCAGCCGTTGCAAATAACCCATCTTAATGACCTACAGGAACATGGTGCAATACACGAAAGCTTAGCTAAACACAAAACGATGAGTACAATTTTAACGAATGCACTCTTTGCATTTGAAATACAAATACAACTGACTCCTCAAACGTACATTGACGACTGAAGTAATGCTCCCAAATCCTGCCAACTCCACTTAACTCGCAGTTCTGGACAAATTTGGCGGGAATAAACAAGATGAATGTCGACGGCGATTGACTGGGAGATATCCATTCGCGCATGATCAAGTAATGAACTGCTGGCCCAGCTGACTCGAGGCTGTTGTCGTTACCCACTTTGTACGACAGACGATCCCCTCCCCTACTTAGCACAATTTAAGTGCAGTTTGGAACACCTTAAGAAGCGTCGACCTGTAATATAAATTCTCCTTAAAACAACCTTTACTCATAAATACGTAGTATCAAAATTTCTTTGAATCCTTTAGCCCGTTTTCATCTTTGCTGAACGGATTATAACTGACGATACGAACTGTGGGGGTAGGGGGCGGGGGGCGGCTGCGTTTCAGGTTTACGAAGCAGAGAATTACTTCACATGGAAAGGTTCATAGCTGAAGATTTAGCTACTCGAAACGTAGGTTATTATCATCTATCTCGCATTTAGACCATTTCTTCTGAACCGACGCTTCTCCCATTTCTGCATATGTGTATTTGAGGATTTCAGCGTTAAGGGCATGCAAAGTAGTTGTTCGAACGTGGATAGTTCTTTTCTTTTATTATGCAGAACTTACTTACTAAATGACTTGGTATCTTTCACTCTCAGGAGGGATATGAGAGTTTATTAAAATATCTTTAAATGTCAGTACAGTTTTACTGGTCGATCAGACAGTTTCAGCTGATCGAGGAGGATTAAGAAAATTACGAACTTGGGGCATTTGTAAAAAGTGCTAGCCAACTAGAAATGCTTCGTATCAGAGGCAGTCACCCTTGTGTCAGATCCCAGAGGAGGGAACTCAGGGTGAGGAAGTTGTTGGGGGGAGGAGGCTAGGAGTGGTTTAAAAAAAAAATTCCCACCTAATGGTTATTGTAGCATGTAAATACTAAACTCTATGTCCTTGGAGTTCTGGGTAATATTGTGAAGAACAGCTCCCTAGAAAAAAAAACCCGTCCACAGACTTACTATTTTTTAAAGGTCGACACATAATCAACGGGCCACGGACAGGCTACTGATATATTCCAATTGGCAATATACTCAGGAAGTAATGTCCAGAAAAACACTGACTGTACTTTATCCTGAAATGATGAACTTACTCGCATAAGTTAAATCACTTTTGAAATGAGTTGATACCACAATTTGAAGACAACATTTCTGCTGTCACATCTCAAACAGCAGAGCATTTCAAATCAATTTCTGTTTAAGGACCTTCACCTGTTGTTGAATTGCTGGCTTTTGTCAAGAGGTTATTCTTGTCCAGGGCTCGACACTAACTTTTCAACCTACTAGCCAAGTGGCTGGTGACGTCTTAGATGCTACGACAATGTCAGTTCGTTTACCAGCCAAACTAGGTAGTGGAAACTGAAATCCACAAGCCAAAACTGAATTTCTACTAGTCTGTGGCTAGTGGGCTACCGTTAGTGTTGAGCCCTGCTTGTCAGTAGTGGTTAAGAGAGATGGCCAGAGGTGGCCATTAAAGGGGTACTGTTTTATTTACTTTTCAGTGTCAAACCTGCAGATCAGGACACACCCACATTTAAGACCAAAACTTAAAGGGTTTTGATTACAGCTGAGTTATTTTGCATCAGCACAGTGAGAATATTTCTAGCAATCATGGTTGCATGAGTTAGAGAATTGTCCAACAATGTGCCTGATGTCCATGTAGGACTTGATTTCTGATCAGTTTCTCATTTCCTTTCAGTATAAAGAATTTTTACAGCTGTACAACAAGCTTACTCAGAACTGTTTTATTGCTTGTGTGACAAATTTGAATTATCGCAAAGTTACTGCAGAAGAGGTGAGAATGAATCTAGAATCCCTTTCCAGGGGCTGTTATTCCTCTGTGCTGATCTGGTGGGGCGCAATGGATGGTAATTTAATATCAAGATGAAGTGTAAAATAAAATACTTCTTAAAGTGCCTACAACATCAATTTTTTTTTTCTCGGTTTTTCTTAGCTTGATGCATATAAAAAATTATTTTAACCCTTAATCCGGGCAGAAATGTCTTCAAACCCCTTTTTTTTAGTTCAAAACATGCGCTATCTGTGAATGCAATTGTCCCCTCTTCCGTGTAGCCAAAACGTCATGTGATTTTCTTTCGTGACGTCAAGTTGTGTACAGCCATCGAAACCAACATGGATGACAGTGCGGCAAAAAGAGTGATTCTATAAATCTATAGAATCAACAGTGACACTCGCTCAAATGAATCAATGACTCGGCTCTCACCTCCACACGTTCCACAACTTAGTGTTTTGTGTACACAAAATTATGTCACGAAGGCCGTAGCAAGGGTTGAACTAGGTCCCAGACCCCGTGACAATTTTCACTACAAAGTAGTACTTTTTAGAACGCAAAAATTCAGGCTTGAAAACATTTCGCCGAATTAAAGGTTAGAATCGTTTTTTATATGTATCAAGTTAAGAAAAACCAAGAAAAAAAAATTCATGTCATAGGCACTTTAAATGAAGTATAATATTTATTACTTTCATATCAACTTTTTGTTTTCTCTATGTCCAAAAATCTTTGGTAGACCCACCCAACACCTGTTTCATACCAGAACACCGATTTCGCGCATTTAGCTTTTACATGCTTTTCTTAGAATGGCACTAAGTTTTCCAATGAAAACATCATTTTTCAAAAATTGCCTACCTTGCTTAAACTTTTGAAAACTGTTGAAAACAAAGACAACTTAGGCATCATGTTTTCTGAATTAAACTAAGGTGAAAGACCAAAGTTCACTAAGACCTCATTGATCACTTGCAATATACTCTGCTCAAGATTCTTTCTTTTCTTTTTTTTTTTTTTTTGTCTTTTTCATCAGGAATCATGCATTGACACTTGTAGCACAAAATGGATGAATCTCAATCAGCGTCAAATGGCAGTATTCATGGAGGTTGGGCCCTTGGCAGATAAGAAGATGGGTCAGTCTGTTGGCCATGGAATGTGACATTTCATTTTGGATGTAAACAAATTTCAGCTTAAATCAGATTAAAAGGCAGCCTTTGTATTTCTCAGACTGCTTTGCTATCTTTTTGCTGGGGGTAGCCTGCACTGAAGCCATAATTTTGAAAAACAAGCTTAGTTACAAAGATCTTTTGATGCTGGAGGCTGTGACTGAATTGTCAATATTATATCGTATGCATAAATCAGATTAAAAGGCAGCCTTTGTATTTCTCAGACTGCTTTGCTATCTTTTTGCTGGGGGTAGCCTGCACTGAAGCCATAATTTTGAAAAACAAGCTTAGTTACAAAGATCTTTTGATGCTGGAGGCTGTGACTGAATTGTCAATATTATATCGTATGCATAAAGAGAGAAAGGTTCATACTGATATCTTTAAGAATGATTGTACAAAAGAAATGAATGCAGAAAGAGAAGAGATAAGCTGGAGAGGCAAAAACAAACAAACAAACAAAAAAAGAAAATTGATTTTTAGTTTAAATTTAATCTGTCAAGATTTTTAAAATTCCAGTCCATCTAACTCTAACCCAAGGCAAAAAGTAAAGAAACAAAATCAACAGGTACCATTTTTTTGTTTTGTGTAAACTTTAAAACAAAAACCCAAAGAACAAAATGAAGTTCCATTTGCCACTGTTTTTCAGCTTATGTACAAATAAACAAAAAAGAACTTCCGTGTTGTGTGCCAAGAAATACATAAAAAAAAATACAAAACAAAAAATAATGAAAATTGTTAATGTTTTTTGTTTTATGTTCAAACTTCCAGCAAGAGACAAAAACAAGCTTCCATTTCATTGTTTCTGATTCAACTAATAAGTGCCTTTGAAGGAATATTACACTTTTTGAAATGACAAAAGAGGAGTGGGGGAGGTTGTCAGTGGGAGGGGTTGGAGCAAATTTGCAGTTTATGCAGGAACTTTAGAACAGTGATGCAGCTGCTACTAGTGGGCTTGGAACATGAGCTTGTCAAGCACTCTGCAACACATTGAGCATGATAGTTGTAAATGGTAGTAAACTAAATTTTAGGTTAGTCCATTGCTCCTAGCCTTTTGATTCAAACATTTCAGAGACAAGTGAGTAAGTCTGGTGGCCCTTAAGGGTTGTATACCAAACAGTTTACCCAAATACAAATGAGTTTTAAATTAGCAAAACACAAATTAATTTATGAAATAAGATGTTGGCAGCTGTTGTTAGACTAAAAATAGTTTAATCCATGATGTGTTTTCCCTTGGTGCAAACAAAGCATGTCTCTAATGAGTGGGAGGCTATAATAAGTAATTGGAGATACACAATAAAAATAACACATCACTTTATACTTGCTATAAAATCCTTTATTCTACATCCCATAGTAAAATATTTACATATATTTAACAAAATGCCTGATGTACATTAAAAGTTTTCTATTCCTCTCCACCATAAAAACAAATTTCACATGTTAACTAGTCATAAACCTTGCATTACATCATAACAAAAACAAATGGAGAGCAAAACTCTTCACATGCCCAAATATTACACAATACACAAACACGAAAGTAAAGAATTCTCTTGACATAATTATCATGTTACACTTAAGATGGAAATGACTTATTTAACACAGCTATTGGTGTGCTTTTAAAAAACACACTTTCATACTACATGTAGCTTAAACCACACCACTGGTTAGATACTGTAATCACCTCTAGAGTATTAGTTCCCAATCAAAGCAGGAAATGAGGGATCTTGTCTATCACCTATTGCCAGTGTCTTCATTTTGATTGAGTGACTTTTTGAAAAAGACTTGAAGTGGTCATTAAGTAGTTTACAACACTGCCAGAGTTCTGCATCAGGAATCTAACATGTTAGAAAGAAACAAGATAAAAGAGAAATAATCAAAAAAATAATAATTAAACATGAAAAAGCTAACTTTTTTCAAGCTGACAAATGCTATTCAAAATGTATGCTCAAATATTGAGATGGGAAGGTACACATTCTGTGTTCATAGCAATATCTTTTCAATTTTCAAGATCTGTGCTCTTCATCCATCAAATGGTAGATTTGAGTGCTTCTAGTCAACATGTTTATTTTTCAAGTAATTAATTCTGTGAACTTTTTAATAATCTTTACCTTTGCCTGTTCTTGTAGAAAATGCGTTGCCAGGAGCCAGTTGCTACTGACATACATCAATTCACAACTCAACAAGGCCAGCGCTAATGTTGATGGCTAAAAAATGAAAAGATTTTGAATCACAATTACACGGATTGAGCTACAACAGTATGGGTGCATCAGAATTTCCTATATTAACCTTTATTTGTCAGTGTGGTATTTTCCTACAATAGCCTTATCAATGTGTTAAACATTTTTTTTTAATCCAAACTTTCAATCTTATAGAAGCATGTGATTAGTTTAAGGTTCTTTTGTATCATCTTTACATAAAAGTTGTAGGGAGGGTATTTATTTCTATTATATTACATTGTATAATTATACTTACCTTGAAAAACATAAACTTATGAAAACAAAGGAGATCTTCTAAAATAGTGGTGATATGCTGTAAATGATGGTTCACTGGAAAGTGGTCAAGAAATCCTTTTGAAACGCACAAAGCATGAAACTGAAAGAAGAAATGAAACATACTGGTAATTATTTGAGCTTGCATATTGCCTCTAGGAGTTTAAGATACCAGTGATTGTACATTATTATTTAGGTATGTGCACATAAACAATTGAAACAAATGCTACTTTACTTACCACCTGTAGGAAATACAAAGGAGTTGAAGCATTCAGATTCCATTTAAGTTTATCAAGAATGATTCGCTCCATTCGTAGCAGATCTGATGAAGAAAAGTTAAGTCCACTAACTTTGACCAAATCAGCAGCTGTAGGAACATCCTAGAAGAGAAAATTCAATGCAAAAAAATTGGAATATCCACCATTTTACCATATTACATTTGTGTGCATGCATGTATTTGAGTGCAACATGAGTGCCAAGCTCCCCAGTTCAGGATTCACCTGCACTGTTACAGCATACAGTGCTCCTTATCAAATCAAGACCTTAAAATATTCATTTCCTGTCTACACAGACAGATGGAACTGAAACAAATGTTTAAATGTCATCCAACATTTGCCTCTAAGAGATTCAACAGGGCATTTTGCTTGTTAGCCACGCGTACTCTTACAGCTACATACATGTAGATTGTACAATGTATAACTAAGGGCAAAAACTAGAACTGGGATTGATTGGTTTCTTGTTGGTGAGCAATTTGGTGATCAGCCTGTTTCATTTCAGGATATACATAATTTGAAGCCTTGGATGATGTGTGGTTTCCTGATATACATGATTTTTAATTCTAAGCCACCTTTAGAGCTGATTAAACTTGATTAAATACATAATGATGAAAGCTTGGTACCTCATCCTCTTCACACATCTTAACAGCAAGGAACAGACAGCAAATACTGATACATGGAAGATACTTTGGGTTGGCCTTCATGTAAAGACAAAGAAAAGTATGATCATGAAAACCTTTTCAAAAAGTCTTCATATCTTGAAAATACAACTTAGCACAACCTTAAACAACTCAGACAATCAATTTGTGAAAAAGTCTTTTAGAGATTTAAACCCTGTCAATTAATTGATAGAATATTCATAGATTTCATCAGACTACCTTATAAATTACACGACTTTGTAATTTATGTTTCAAGTTTTCTATCAGAACATAGGCTATTTCTTTTTTAAATTTTGAAAATGGTAAAAAAATGACTATTAAGTGACTGTATATTCAAATGTAGATTTATACTGTTGTGTCAGTATCCCTGAATTTATTTAATCAATTACTTGAACTTTCTTCATCTCAAGCATTCTATCAGAAAGATACATGTACACTGTACACAGCCACAAATCCCTCACCTTTACCACTGATAGGAAACGATCAAGCAAATTTACAGAAAGGGAGAATGTCTCTGAGTGAAATCCACAATGTCTGCTCAAATTGAGTATAAATACAGTGCTATCGTCTCGGTTGGAAAGACTGATTCCATCTGAATCCTGGGGGTAAAAAAGTAGCATTGAACATTGAGTACTTTTTGCATGTCTTATTATTATATCAGGACATTGAACCCTCTGCATTATTGACATGACCATCCTGAAAAAGCCTTCTGCACATATCCATTCTGGACATAGCAGTTTCAATATAAAATTCAGAAGAGATGTCAAAGTTCCAGTACTGTAATTAACCCTCTGACTTGCAGACAATTTCCATCATTCTGTTTATAAGTTTTACATTACACAAGAAAATTTACCCAAAAAAAAAAACCCCAAAAAATAATAATTTATTAATGACAGGGTGTCAGGTAACAAATAATAGAAAATAGGAATGACAGTGGCCAAAAAATAGGAAATAAATAGGAATTCTCACCCCAAAATAGGAAAAAAATTGGAGGATTTCTTTGAGATCTATCCTCTTAACACTCCCAACAGCAACTCTGTTTCACAACCCAACACTTTAATATTTAACAGGCATCATGGCATACATCCACAATGCATTGCCATATAAACAACAACAAGTGTTACCACCTATGTTACCAAACACAACTCATCCTACAACAATGATCAGGTTCCAAATTTCATTAGATACATCACAAGATTTCTTTAATTTAAGTCATTAGTCCTTTAGAACTGTGAGAATGATAAACAACAATAATTATTTCGACAAACCAAAACAATATCAAAGTTCACTGTCACTGAATGTATATCTTCCTTACAATAAAAGCCAACCATGACTTTTGAACATCAACAACCAAAACTTCCAACACTATAATAATAATAATAATAATAATAATAATAATAATAATAATTATAATAATAATTTTATCAATTTCTATAGTACATTTACCATGTAATGATCTAATGCACTTTACAACACTCTGCAGGGGACTTTTTCCAGACTGCCAGTGGCAGTTTCCAACCAACAGAGGAGAAATTTTACAGGTACCCCCTCCCCCCAATTCCCAGTAAACAGGCCAGACCACCTGACAGTAATCTCATGATGTGGGTCCTTTAACATCCCCTGCCTAACCAAATTAACTAATTGACAGATGCAAGAGATGGGACCTCCGGCTTTACGTCTTATCTGAGAAGACGAAGCAATGTGAGTGAAGCGTCATGCTTAAGGACACAACGTCAAGCCCCAGCCAGGACTTGAAGCCCAGTCATCTGACCCAGAAACCAGCACACTGACCACTGGACTACTCACTATACTGTTTTTGCTCTTTTAAACCAGCGCACTGACCACTGGACTACTCACTATACTGTTTTTGCTCTTTTAAACCAAGTACCGAGAAAGTCAGGGCATGAGTTTCAGAAGAAAATCACTTATGAAGGCTTCAAACTGGTCTTTTTTGACATGAAGTTTTTAATTAGTTTTTTTTTTATCAAATTCACTGGCAATTTTATTTCAAATATTTCAAAATGTTTCTATGTACCTAGTAAAACCCTAAAAAAATAGGAAAGACTAGGAATTTCATGAAAAAATAGGAGAAAATAGGAGGCAGGCCAAAAAATAGGAAAAATAGGAAAAAATAGGAACTTGACACCCTGTTGTGACCTATCACAAATATTAGGTTGATTAACATGTATTTACAAACCTCATTTCCAGCCAAGCACATGAGGGGTGCAAGGTGTGTCTCTTCTTTAAGAAGCCCCTCATTTAGCACTTTGAGCAGTTTGCTGACATTCAACCCACACAAAACTATCATCTGAAAATTGGTAAAAATTATTGAAAAATTTAACTTTCAATATTTCATCCATACCACAAAGGCCAAAGCAGCTCTCAGTCTAAAGTAATAGAAGACATGTATGCCAGAAGTTAGAAAAATGGTCTATGAGAATTTCTACAACAACTATGTATAGCTGTAGTCCCCTTTGCAGTGGCAATTGTGAGAAAGTCACATTGTGTGTAATACAAAAGCATTGCTTTGAAGGAAGCTTATTCAGTTGTAGTTTTTTTAGAATATTTTAGCATCTATACTGCATAAAATGCTAGGTGTTGTTTGAAATTATTTTACCAAATCATTTTTAAGGTACAACAAACAGAGGCGAAATTGCTCAGGGCCACAGACAACATAGGATAACTTGTGGACCTTTTGTTTTTGTTTTTCTTACCTTAAATTTAGTAGTTCACTAATTTTGCAAGTTCAGTCAGCCACACACAATTCCTGTTTATAGGAAAGAAATAACTACATAATTATAAATGTTGAGCTTTGCAAAACTACATGTGGGATGAATATTTTTTGAAAACCATTTTAAAAAATTGTTTCTCAACACTTTAACAGCTGTAATAAAATAAAAAGAGTTAAAAGCGATATACCAAACTTTGACAAAAAAAAAATCTGGCCAAGCCTTTCCCCTCATGAATATGCAAATAATGGACAAAATTTAATCATGAAATGTGCTTTTGGGTATTAATGCTGTTTTTATGTTTTAATGCTATGGACTTTAGAATTGTAGAAAACTAAGGATCATTTTGACAACATTACTTCTGTACTATGTAAGTATCTATTACTATTATTAATATTAGTATGAGATCAATCTTTACAGAAATGAACACTACTTAAGCAGTAGTGAATATAAGGCCTGAAAAAAATTCAGACCTGTATGGGATTCGAACTCACAACCTCTGCAATACCAGCACAGTGCTCTACCAACTGGGCTAACAAGCCAACTGGGAGCTTGTCACTCTGTTGATTCATAATAAACCTGTGAAGTGATGAGTCAACACAGTAGTGAATATAAGGCCTTTAACTACAGTTCTTATATACAATTTTCATATATTCACAAGCATCGACTCATCACTTCATGGGTTTATTATGAACCAACACAATGACCAGCTCCCAGTGGGCTTGTTGGCTCTGCTGGTAGAGCACTGCACTGGTATCGCAGAGATCGTGGGTTCAAATCCTGTACAGGTCTGAATTTTTTTTAAGGCCTTATTTTCACTGCTGCTTAAGCAGTGTTTATTTCTGCAAAGATCAATCTCACACTAACTTCTTTAACCACAGTTCACAGATATGATTTTCATATATTCACAAGCTTTGACAATTATTAAGATTATTAAACACTTTTTCATACAATATCCAGACTGAACAATGCATTGTCAGGATCCTTCTTTGAGCTGCCCCGCTCCAAAATTATCCTGGCAGTTACAAGAAAAAATTCTTCATAACTAGGCTCAAGCTGTTTTCTTCTTTCAGAAGTGGAGAATTTTCTTCTGTCACTTAGCACTTTCGATCCTCAGTTATTGCAAGTCTCGATGTCATAAATTACAGTTTGTAGATTGTAGCTCAAAGGTTTGAGTTTAGATTGCATTTTGATTTTAAAACAAGAAGATTGAGGTTCAATTCCTTGCAGGGACTCAGAATTTCATCTTTATCTTATCTTTGGAGCAAGGAATTTGAAAGTCTTATGTGCTATTCAAAATTATTTCTTTGTCCCATCCTTGAGACATGAAGAAATATCATCCCTCTCTAAATCATTTATTTTTAGACTTAAAATGAATCCTCCTCCAGGGCCTTAAGGCATCTTAAAATATAAAAGGAAATTAAGTCTTCACCCTTTGTGAAAGAATGCTTTTCTCATCATATATTATTATTCACTTTCACAGTGAATCATTAATGTAGACAAACTCTAAAACTTAGAATGCAGGAAATGCAAGTTACAGTCACTGAGCAGATTTTCTCTTCATTGGTTTTTTTTTTCCATCTATAGTTTTCATATACTTTATGTTTGTTTACTTAGCTACCTATTCCTTTTACATTCTCTCCTTTAGGAAATATTTACATTATTTTCTCAAATTAGTACTATCTTAAAAATGTATTTCATTTATATCACCACAGCCTAACCTAAGTGTTATATTATAAATATCCCTATGCTCTAAGCAGGAGGTACCAGCATTCACCTGATCCCAATCTATCTGACAGTAAACTGTGATATGGTAAAGTTTAAATGCCAATGAACCTTACAGAGGTAACCTCGGTGCACCCATAATTAACTCAACAGAGATGAGGACTGAGCATTATTTTGTTTTTTTCATTTTCCCTACTGGCATGCCTTATAAATTAATTCATGCTGTACATGTAAAAGCTACTTCTCAGAACTAATTACAAATAAATGTAAGTACATGCTCTTAAAAGTGAAACAGCAAAAAGGCACTTGAAATGTTCACAAACACATCCATATAAGTCAAACATACATTTCCTGTGACCTTTCAGCCCTAATATCATTTGAACCTTGATATTGAACAAGAGTCTCGTATTTCAAAAAATTTCCCTGACCTACGTAAATACTGAGAGATTTGAAACGAAAGACTTATGTGAAGATCTCATCATTCCTTTTAAAGAATCAAAATTTGTAATCACCCTGGCATAAAGAAATGTTACCAAAGCAGTAATGACAACAGAGACATCAACTACGTAACGGTTTTATAATTATGAACTACAAAATCTTCAGATACATGTCTACGAGGATCTTGTCAGTTCGATCATAGACCTTTCTCCATGACTAAGTTTAATACATAAAAGAACGATTTTGAAAAACTCACCACTCCGATACTATTATTTAACGTATAAACCGAACGCAGCAGTATTCAGAATAAAAACGCCTTGGTCGACAGTACAAGCTAAGGGCAACTAAATACTCCAAAGCAACATAGAAGAACTAACTACATCTAGATCGGCGCCCCCGGCTCTGCAAATTAAGCTCCATCGAATTTCTTCAAACGTGTACCCATGGTGAACAAGATTCAGAGTAGAAATCGACGTAAGTTTTCGTATCCCAATGAGTAAAATTTGAATTGATTGTTACCAAGGTTGACAAGAAAACATAAACACAACAGAGATTTGATCTTCGAACCGTTTCAAAATCGGCAAAAAAATGTTAATTCAGCCAGGAATTTAATTCTCTTACCGGCGAAATAGACTCTAATGTAACAAATAAGCTCTTATGAAAGTTTGCTATTGATTGTTCACTATTTCACGGATTACAGATAAACTGCTACGTTCGGGAAGGAGACGAAAATCAGCTGTCAAGTATTGTGAAATCTAGTCGCCATATTAGTATGATGAAAATGCGCTCAAGACATTGCAAGGCATCTACGTACCTCATTTGTGCGTTTCCAGGACTTCTATAACAGTATAACTGCGTGAAGAGAAGAAGAGAAGCAGTTTCTAAAGGTTCATAGGTATGATTACCACTACTGTGCTTACACACCCAACTTCATAGTTCTTAATAATAACAGCCAAGTCGATGTAAACAAAAAGATTGAATTTTTGGGGCGCCAAGATTCAGTTCATACTGTTTTGAGGATCGTGGTTGGTCAGTTCGATTCAGATCCCATTTTTTCATTGGTCAGTAAGATTAGCCAATTATGTAAGCGGTACACGTAGGAGATTGTTTTTGTTTTATTTTCAGTTTCGTTTTGGTCCTTAACTGTCCCTTCGTCATCGAAATTAAGATTGAATGTAGACACTTTGCTTTCGTAAGTGAAGGGAAGGCGATATGTAATCTTAACTCAAAAAAAGAAAACGGAAGAAATGGAGAAAAAAAACGCTTCCAAAATTAGATTACAGGCATGCAAAGCGTTGGTGCATCAAAATTGAACGACCGTTGGAAGACTGGTTCCAATAAAGCCAATATGGAGGAAGTGTCGGGTCGATATTGTCAAGTCGTAGTTTTCGTTTTATTTTTGCTTGTGGAGGGACAAATGTTTAGATATGGTGACGCATCAACCCCCAAGGGTCTTCCAATAGTGATCAATACATGGCCTTTTACAAATGCAACAGCTGAAGGTAAGGTATAAGAGAGAGGCTCATGCATACAATCGATGAGCATTGAAAGCTTATTGGCTCAAAGTAACAACCTTTCAATGGAATCAACAAATTATGGTCACATTTTGACATTCGATTGACTTATAAGTCAGATAGTACAAAGAAACAAAGCAGTGTGGACAGAAATTAACAAGCAAGCAAAGAAATGCAGGTGGACCCCAATTAAGGAATTGGTGCGAAAAAAAAGTCTAAAAAATTCAAGCTTTGAAGAGATTCAAACCAGTACCTCCCAGATACTAGCTGAGAGCTGTTACACTCCGAGCTATGGAGCCACGTGTTGAGAACAAGAAAATCACCAAGTTTCTCTCTATCCTTCAAAATTCTCCCCTTTCAGACATAATGGCATAATGGTCTGCTTTAATCTAAACCACCAAATGTAGTTTTCTAGCCCTCAATATGTTTACATTTCCTTCCCCTTGTCTGAAAATAGTAGTTGGCTGTAATTTCCCAAATTAACCCTCGGACCCTATGAGTGACTAGCCAGGCCTGTAAGTTTCTTGCAACTGCATAGGGGAAGGGCTGGTGCTGGGCCAGAGGCACAAGAAGCAAGATCCAAGAGGAGTTCAGCAGCATGAGACTGTCTGAGACTCCATTTATTTGTTTGAAGGCTATTTTGAATCCATGGCATCTGGTAAACAAACTTTCCCAGCCTAGCCGGGAGGTGTGTACATACCCTTCTTCCCTATGGCACTGCTGGCATCTAATTTCTCCTTACAATATTACACCTGAATCTCACATTAACGTCACAAAATAACATCGGTACTTTAAGAAATGTATAGAGAACAGTATGGAAATTCTGCATAAGTGTAATTTAATGGTGCTCATTTGCTAGATGGTTTCAGTGTACTCCATTTCTGTCGGATGAATCGATATTTTGCACATATACTGATTTGTTTTCAAGTGCAAGGGTAGAAACTACTGAACAAAATTGCCTTTCAAGATTTAGATCTTACTTAGTTGATCAAATGTATTTGAAATGGAACTGAACTTTTATTGTCACTGAAGATTGTTGTGTTTGTTAAAGTACTACTAAAATTAAGGAATCTTCTACTTGATGCAACCATGCCATTCTGTGACACTTTAGAGATTCCAACCTCTGGTAATCTGACTTCAGGAGGCATTCGATTTAGATCCCTTTCTTCATAGTATTCCATGAAGTATTCCGTGAGTCACTTGTATTCTCATCTGTATAATCACAAGCCTCTGGGTACCATAAGGAAGTGTTGCAAACCCAATTTCCTCTTTAGCATAGAGAATGCAGTAGCCAACACAATCATTGTGACATATGCACAAACTTCTTTAAGTATAGTTTGAAATGGTTTGGTGTTGTCTTTGATCTTGAAGACAATTAAAAAACTGTTGGTTGAAAAACATTTATTGATTAACAGGTGTATTCAAAGAATACATTTAAAATGCATGTCAAAAAATTATTGTAGTCATCCAAGTATATGAAAGGAATTGGACTTAGAGATGAAGGCTACTGTCAAGTTATGAACATTTTCTGTATTCTAATATTATTACATATTTTTCATGGCTTGCTATGATCATATATACACCTTAATGTAGTCTTTCGACTGCTTTTTTCTTATCTGTTATCATTGTTTACGAAGTGCTTGTAAGGTTTATGAGAAAAAGTAACATTTTTCATTAAAATAATTGGTCATTGGAAATTATCCCACATAATATGGATTGAAAAATCTAATGAACTGGCTGGAAATTTGATTTTAAAACTTGCCTAAAGTTGTATTTATTAAAATTTTAAATAGCTTGGCATGTTATTTCAAGTGATGAAGGAAGTGCACTGGATGCAGTTGAATCTGGTTGCACAGTGTGTGAAATGGAACAATGTGATGGCACTGTAGGGTTTGGTGGAAGGTTTGTAAATTAAAGTATAAGCTGATATTAGTAACCATGTTCAGTTGTTCTGAATTTGTACAAATATTTGTGTACTCTGATGGCATGAAAGATTTAAAAACCCCTAATTTTGACATTTTGATTACCTGCACTCAAGATTATACCTTAACATAATGTGGGTGTGTGTATGTGTGTGTGTATTTTTGTTTTTTGGGGGTGAGGAACAAATTTTGAGATAAATAACTGGATTCAACCTCCAACTTAAATCCCATTAGCCATGCAGACTTATTAAGGGTGATTAAAACTTACCATTCACATCTTATATAAGATGTTCGGTGAAAGAGAATTGGGGCAAGGACAAAGGTCTTAAAAATCTTACAATTAAGAGGTGGAAAGAATGATGTAGACATATGGCCAAAAACCACATTTGTTAACTTAAAGGAGAACTAAAAACAAGCTACCTTTTTAGAGTTGTTTTGTTTCCTTGAAGAGCCATTTTTTGTACCATATGATTTATCAGGAATAAGTAAGTCCATGAAATCCAAGTTACTGTGAGTTTCTATTGTGAGCCTCACTTCAGATTTCTGTCCTCATAATATGCTTAATAAAGTGTGTGGCTTGTACTCTGTTTTTTTCATTGTTTATCTCATAAAATATGCCTATCATCAATATTTTATCTTGTTCATGTTGACAGCCCTAATGAAGATGGAGAAACAACATTAGATGCCATGATTATGGATGGGTAAGTTTGCACTTAAACATTAGGGTTAATAATGTATTCAAGTAAAGAAGGTTAAAAGGTCAGGTATAACATCAAATTGACTGCAGTTTTCTCTGCCATAGTAAGTCTCAAATCAGACTTCAATCTCAGTTCTCCTTTTCAAGATTGATCAAGGGTTGTTGAAATTGTAGGAACTCTATGTTCTGTTCCTTACTTGTTCTGGCTATTCTGTGACTGTGATTTATATTATTTTGCAATATGGAAGAAAAGGAGAGTGAAGACTTCTGAAAAGTGATGCATAGGGATGATTTTGAAGTACTTTCAAAAGAATGGCTAGTCAATTTCAATCTTTGTCTTCAGATCCATGGTGGGGAGGAACCCCATAAAAATTTTTTGTGGGATTTTTTTTATATAAAAGTGAAAAAAAGAAAGTAAACATATGTTAACTCATAACCAATGGAGCCAACACATTTGTTTGTACATGTAGTCAAAGTTGGGCTAAGAAAGAAAAATAGTGTCTGAGTCCTCAATTCCCCATGAGTCATTACCATTTAAATAAAATCCAATGCATTGAAATCATTAAGCTCTACACTGGGTGATTAGTTACCTTTTCTTGACTTTTATCTAATATGTAGGTTGATAACTATGATTAATGTGACTTGCTGGTCAAGAAATCTCACATATTTTCATGCAATTTCTATAATTGTAAGGTAAAAATTACTATTCCATAGTAAGTTTTAGGTTACTAAGTGTGATAATCAGCTTGTAGCTTGGAAACCATATAGAGCTGTAATGTCATGTTGTGTTTCACCTCAAGGGGTCAAAGAGTTTGTTAGGATTATGTTCAACTTTTTCCTTTTCAGCCTTACACATAATGTTGGAGCTGTTGGTTGTCTGAAGAGAGTGAAAAGAGCCATTTCAGTTGCACGCAGTGTTATGGAACACACCTCAGAGACATTTTTGGTAGGAGATGATGGTAAGGTAACACAGCTCGCAACTTTTCACCAACTTGTGCCAGAGATGGACTGGCTGCACCTGAAATGATTATGTCAATGACATGCATCAAGCAAGCCAGTGATTCATTTGATTTACATGTTTTTTTCTCGTAGCAACCCAGTTTGCAGTCCAGATGGGATTTAAAAGTGAAGACTTACACACTAATCACTCATGGTAAGCAAGTTAGAGAGTAATTACGTGAAACAACACATCTGACACTCAGTTAATTCTGTACAATGATAGTATAATTACAATTGTCATCAGTAAAGGTGTAATGAGAAAATGTAATCAAGATGATATATTTTCACAAATACCTATGGTATTCTTACACACAACAGATTTAGTGAGAGTTGTGCATTACAATTACTCTGATGTGTACTTTTTATGTTGGTCAGTAGTTTAAGCTTCATTGTATTGCTAGCTTTTTCTTGATTAAACATACGATCTTGTGTAGGAAACTTACTTTGTTCAGTGTTACCGGTAGTTGACTAAATAAAGTGACATGTTTTAAGTAAATAAATTAGAGAATTTTACTGCTTTTATTGAAATGACATACAGTAGGTATATTTAATGTTTGCAGGTAAGGAGCTATGTCCAACTGATGGAGATACTGTAGATAAGCTGTTATTATTTTTATTACTAGACAAGTATCATTGTTATTGTTATAGTGGCAGATAATTTCCCAATGGGCCTGTATTGTTGAGATGAACAAGAAGACTCTTGTTTTGCACTTATCAGTAAATCCTGAAAACACAATGCCACTGAAACTTGTTTTTTTGTTTTGTTTTTTTTTTTTTTTGCGTGTGTTGGGAAGGCTTGGAAGTGTTTCTTATTAAAGATGCACTCACTTATTCTTTGGTTGCTCTTTTATGGACTGTGTAAGGGTTCAGCTGAGACAACACAGAACTGAGGGAGTGCTGCATCAGTCAATTTTATTGTCTACAACCCTGTTTTATGAACTTTCAGGCAGATGTGGAAAGACTGGAAAAAGAATAATTGCCAACCTAACTTTTGGAAGGTAATGCTTTGTACAGTACACTGAAATGAAACATTTAAAGCTATAATCTCAAATAGTGAATTAGCATTTCCTTAATGTGATAAAACATTTTTCTTTTTTTTTAACCTTTCACATATCTCTCTGAAGCATGCTGCAGATACAACTGAAGATATGAAGAGAACGCTTTGCTGATAAAATAATATCTGAAAGTGTAGTGTGATCGTCCGGGTGAGTGTAGTCCTGAGAAGGACTGTTGTCGGTGGTAGTGACTGACGTTTCGACAACCTTCGCGGAAGTCATCATCAGAGTCAAGTGAATGATTGTTGTCAGTAGAACGTTCTTATTTCAGTTCGTGTAAAATGATTGGTCAGTTTTACCGTGATGTTATTGGCTGTAAGAGCCGACCAAGGATAACATCAGAAGCAGAATTGCCTCCACTATACAATCAGCGTCACTACAGGACAGCAACTTGACTAAAGACGAACAACATGCACAGAAATGACTGAGAAACGACGAGAACATAGTCATTCTACCGGCCGACAAAGGACGAGTTACCGTTGTCATGGACAAAACTGACTATCACGAAAAAATGGACGCACTGGTTAACGACAACTTACGAAGAACTCAAACGTGACCCGACTCCTGCACTTCAACGCAAACTCAACAGTAAACTACTGACACTCCAGTAAACGAACGCCATTGACACCCAACGGTACTATCGACTGAGGTGCTCGGTACCACAGCCACCGAAACTGTACGGTTTGCCCAAACCACACAAACCCCAATGCGACCTATTGTTTCTTTCTGTGGCTCTCCTACCTACCAACTATCCAAGTACCTGGCGACAATACTACAANATTTCTGTGCATGTTGTTCGTCTTTAGTCAAGTTGCTGTCCTGTAGTGACGCTGATTGTATAGTGGAGGCAATTCTGCTTCTGATGTTATCCTTGGTCGGCTCTTACAGCCAATAACATCACGGTAAAACTGACCAATCATTTTACACGAACTGAAATAAGAACGTTCTACTGACAACAATCATTCACTTGACTCTGATGATGACTTCCGCGAAGGTTGTCGAAACGTCAGTCACTACCACCGACAACAGTCCTTCTCAGGACTACACTCACCCGGACGATCACACTACACTTTCACATGTTACCCCCGGGTTCAAGCCATTTACTGCAAAAATAATATCTTGTGTGCATATTATATGACTGCATTATTCAAGAAGAGTTCTATGTGGATACAGTTTTTTGGATGTCAGAACTGTTTTGCTCACTGAGATGCTTAGTAACCGAATACTTATAAGCTTACTGTTCAGAGCTGATTATGATTCCTTTTTTGTTAAGGATGTGGTCCCTGACCCTGATCAGTCATGTGGTCCTTACAAACCTGCATCAAGGTGAGTTAATTCTTACCCACCTTCAAACAGTGCTCACAGTTTATCAATTTAACACAATCAACTGAGAGATTCATTGCTTAACCAGCTCCAATGGTGAAAATAAGATAAGCCCAAGATTAAATACTGTTGCTTATGAATAAGCAACCAAACTCACTTTGTACTTAACCTTAATTTATCCTTATATTGTGTATTCCAACTCCACCTGAGCATCCACATACGCATCTAAATCTAGGTAATCCAGAACCTTATAGAAAGCTTAGAATGTTGCTAAGGTGTGAAAATACATGTTTTGTCTGTTAACCATAGTTTCAGAGAGCAGAAATAAGCAGTACAGTTTCAGTATTAATCATTAATTGGTTTCCACAGGGAACGGAAAAGTTTAAGGCCGACCTCACATTCAGACATTGGGCGGCAAAATCATGATACAATTGGTGAGAAGATCCCTGTATGGAAACTTCTAGGCAGCTGACATGGGCTGGTATTGATGGAAAGATCCTTTAACTTATAAATAAACAGTAAACGTGCAAATCTGGTAGATAATAACTGAAACCTTTAAGTGTCTTTCCACTTAATACATCTACATCTTTTATCAGGTAGTAAATGTTTAAAACATTTTATTTAGAAATTGTTTTGTTACCTTATAGTACCCCTATCATATTTTGTAAAATGCACTTTCTTGATCTGTCTCTGTTAAGCTGCTTTGACTCAATATGTTATTAAACTGGAACCGTTTGAACATACGGTATATGTATCATTTATTTCTTGTATAAAAACATACATTCAATCCCCACTGCTTGATTCTTATAGATAACATATTAATGTTGGCAGGTATGATTGTTGTGGATAGAGTTGGGAACATTGCTGCAGGAACAAGTACAAATGGAGCAAATCACAAGATTCCTGGGTAAGAGAACAGCAGAGTCTGAGTTCTGAAAATTAGAAGAATTTTAGTGCGGCAAAGTGACGTGGGTTTGTTTCTGGCATCTTTCTGAAAAACTGTATTTTCGCCTTGCTTTTTCCCTCTTTTTCTTTTTTCTATATTTGTTGTTTTTCTTTCTTTGTTATTAACTTACTAAACATAGCATGATTTAAGGGGTGAAGATGGATGTCCAGGTTGCTGCTTTGTCTGTTCCAGTGTGACTTAATTAATGAACTACCATTTTGATTGACCTATTTGTTGCACAGTCGTGTGGGAGACTCGCCCATTGCTGGAGCTGGAGCATATGTTGATAATGAGGTAGGCGGTGCTGCTGCGACAGGTGATGGAGATATCATGATGCGATTTCTTCCGAGGTAAATACCATTTACCATATTGTAAGTTATAGAGGTATTTTAGGTTTAATGGTTTAATCCTGGTCATTAACATTTTGTGGGGATGGGCAGGTGAACAAACTGAAAATATTATTTCAATAGTTCTTTATATTATCGGTGATATTTAAAATATAAGTCAGTCATTAAAAAAAAACTGATGCTGCCATAGGCTGCTATTCCTACTGAGCAAAATGTCAGTAGCTCTTATCAGCCAATGGTTTATTTCCAATTAAGGAAAATTACGTCTTTTGCTTAGCCTTTATGAAGTGTTTTTGAGTGCATACTGTTATTTTAACTGTACAACTTCACTGGGATGATTTTTTCCCTCTTTAATTGTTGGTGCAGTTTCCAGGCAGTAGAGTTCATGCGTCAAGGTAAAAGTCCAACGGAAGCAGCAACAATGGCTCTAACACGAATAGCAAAATATTACCCAAAGTACAGTGGGGGCTTGGTAGTAGTCAACAAGGATGGCGAGTTTGGTATGTTCTGCTGTCTTTGATTGTTACTCGTTGTCGATTTCAAAACGTGAAATCCATTACCTTTCCTGAGATTAGGTTTTCGATTGTTCTTTCCATTTTTTAGGTGCCGCTGCACATGGGTGGACATTCTTTAAGTATTCTGTTTGCAATCCACAGTTAGGAAAAGTTACTGTTTATTCAGTTCAACCTATCAATAGCACACTTGTTTAATTGATACGTTTCTTCTTCCTTTGAATAAAGCAATTTTTGTTTGATAACTTTTATTTTACTTTTACACCAAAGTTGACCGAAAAACGTAATTTTAAACCTGCTAAGAGCAAGGGAGATTCTGAATTTGAACGGAGTTATTTTCAATACGGAAGTATACATTGCATGCTGTACTTGCTAAACCCTGCATGTTACAAGGGTGGAATAAATCCCGTTTAGTGACGAAAATGTTTTAGACTAGAGCATTACATTTGTATTTTTTGAAGTGTTGTAAATTTTGAAGCCACAAGGTTGGGTTAAATCTTAATGACAACAAATACCACAAATAGGAATTTAATATCTTTTGATAAAAAAAAAATTATGTAAACGGACGAAGAGGTAATTAAAGAGTTTAATGGACTCCAGTGAAACTTCTTTTCTCTTGAGATTTTACAAATAACTTTGACATCATTTGATTAACCCAAAATGTTGCTCGCACTTTCGTTTCATTAAACGTGTACTTCAAAGCTACAAAGCACTCTTGGGTAGCAAACTTATTACCCCCACAGGGTTACTAGCCCAGAGGCCACAAACCCGAGAAGGCATTATTGTAGTCCCCGCGTGTACATATTCATATGGACTGAGTAAAAATTAAGAAAAGAAACAAAAATGTTGAGATAGGAGGGTAAATTATCCCGATTTTAACAAACTAGTCGCGCTTAGTCGCGTCGGGTAATTCCTTACTTGGTTAGCAAGGTGTTATGGGTAAGTTTGGCAACCGCGATGTCTCTTCGCATCGTTTCGCTCTTAGAGAATTTACGAAGGTGAATATCTTTCATTCTATTAATCTCTGAATAAAAAAGTCATTTAGCAGTACCGGATATATCTGTCCGATAGACACCTAAATTTGTCAGACAAATCAGGAATCAAATGAAAAAAACTAATGATAATAATAATAATGATGATGATGATAACCAGTCAAAAGGATAAACATCTTCTCAACAAACTTTCTTTTGCAGTATCTAGTAAACCAAGATCCATTACTTTACTGAAAACCTGGGTTCTCAAGGATTCTTAAACAGTACATTTTACTGAATAACTATGATCGAAAGAGTGAAATAGTCGGTGTTAAGATAATTTTGACTGCGAAAACACGTATAGTGCATGTAACAACATGAATTACAGCATGAATTGCAACATGAATTACAAGGAAAAAAACTGCAAGTCAAAGCTTGCTTTCAACGAGAGAAACAAAAAACAAAACTAATGTAAAAACATATGCTAAAGTGCAACTGTTATGAATTACCATCTGTTGAAAAATGCGTGTATGACGACAAAGATGAAACTGAGTGGTAGATGATTCCATATCATGTCTCAGCGCCGGATAACAAACAATTGTATTAGCGGGGCTCCCACGCGCGTGGGACAGAGCCCCATACCCATGGAATATGGTCAACCTCTTCGTTTGGTTGTCATGTGACTGACCGAGCGTATGTACGTACGTAGGTACGTTCGTGCCTTCAGATTACACGGGTAGGGTAGGGGAGACTATCAAAACGAAGGGGTGTCTCAGGCGAATCTTGGGAAATGCACATCTTTTATGTTATCATTAATATTATGAACTTGGGAGCTCCACTTTTAGGCTTGGCTAAATCTATATATTTAATTACTAACTGATCAAACCTGAACATTGGAACGTTTGACAGTTTGTTCGACCTCGTAAGCTAAGCAACACCCCCGCGGTTGCCAAAAATTTCCAAGACCACCAGTAAAGCTCTTCTGTTGTAGCATTAATATCATCAAAAGGAAGGGGTAGATATGTTGAGAACTAAGTTATTACATGAAGAACAAACCATGCCGGTTTAATTAAACATGCATGCATCTTGAGATTCTCATTTAGATGTGACTGTAGTTACCAACAGTTTTGACGTTGCGATGCTTTGCTGGGTTAAAACCTTGTACTATCCTTAGGGAAGCTACTTATTCTTTATAGGGTTTTTCTTTATAGGGTTTTTCTTTATAGGGTTTTTCTTTATAGGGTTTTTCTTTATAGGGTTTTTCTTTATAGGGTTTTTCTTTATAGGGTTTTTCTTTATAGGGTTTCCTTGCTATTTGTGGCGTCCTGTAGGTCGTCCTCTTCGCTCTTGCACAATGTAAGAATCTCCTTGATCTACAATCCCAATGAAACGTGAAAACATTTATCCGTCAATGAAGAGATGCTAAGTAATTTTTTTAGGTAATGGTATACTCACCTCACTGCGTGCAGACTGACAATTACTGTAACCAACAACAGTTACTGTTTCCATCAATTTGCGAAATTGTCGAATAACTTCCTCGCGCAAAAAGCAAGTGTTGTCATTTTGTTTAAGCAGAAAGGCTCGTCCAAAGTTCCCGCTCGTCCAAAGTTCCCAAGCACTCCTTTCACTGGTCGTACCTACGCGTCAGAGAAAGTTCGCGTTATGAGACCTTATATCAACATCACAGGCTGAAATAAAAAATTAGTACAACAATTACATCGCCTTATTTGCTTTCCAAAGAGAAAGTAATGATGTAAAAATTGACTTGCCTCTAGAATGCCAGCGGTATGCAATCAGGTTGTCGTGTGCGCCATTTTTTTCTATTTTTGTTAAATTTCAACTTCGTTTTTCCAGTCTTTCTCTTTAGATCTTGTGAAGTATTCTAACAGGCACATTTCCATACTGTCTTTCTTCGCCCAGCAAGTAACATATCCCTGTGCACGGACGTTAACATAACTGGTTATTTCTGTCCAGTACCTGATGGCATACCTATGAGTGATATGATAGTGCAGTTGGCTGGCACAGGCTATGGTAGTGTAAACATTTGCAACCTGAGAATTTGCGACTAAATGTCGCTTACAGGTTAAACCTCCCAACGGAAAGCTACCGAGACTTGTGGTTTAATCTATTATAATGCATTTGAATTATCCTTCTAATACCCTATTCCCTTTAGCAGAAGTTGTTTAGTCAAACCGGGTTTAACAGAATGAAAATCGGAAAGAGAGAAACTGATGAAAAACTGAATTTTTCGTAGGTTTCAAATGGCCGGTAACTTGTATTTTCAATGTGCTAAATTTGAAGCCGACAAAGATTTGTTTAACAAGGTAATTTTGATGAGTTTGAATATATGAAAATAATATATGTGTACTGCGGTTTCATAAAACGTATTGAAGAACCCACAATTCCTCTATTCGCTCCGACGAAGGGCTAACGCTCGAAACGTCAGCTTTTGTAATCGTTACGATGGCCAATTTACCATTTCAACTTTGTTGGTATATCCAAATTATTTCGTTACTCCCACCGACGCAGCCCCTAACAGTTTCTTTCGAAACTAACAGCCTTTATTCGGTGTTATATCATGGTGTGTTTCTAATCTCCTTTGTCCTCCTGTAGAACAGTGTGAAGTTTTAATTTCTAATTATCATTTAAATTTGTATCAGTATTTCTTCTCGATCCCCGCACTTGTAATTTTATGCTATTTTACTCCGTTAGAGCCGTTTTACAATAGATTTGATTCCGGAGACCAGAAACTTTCCTGTTTCTTCACTAGAGAAGACCTGACTCGAAAACATGTAACAACGAAGAAATTGTTTTGGCCGGTCTAATTCCAAACCCAGTTCAAGAAGTCTAGACATGTAAAAAGTGAGGTACCGAACACATAGTTATTCGTTTTTACGGAACTTAATTTCGCTAACATAGATAGCATATTTTTCGTGTCAAATGGAATTAAGTTTGGCAAATATCTCCAAATTTCGACCTACTTTATCTCATTTAATCAGTTATAGTCTTATTAAACTCAACAATAACATTTTAAAAAAACCTTGCGTCGTGCATATTTGCAACTGAAGTGAGAGAGGTTTTTTCTTTTTTCTTTTCTTCAGATGGGTGCTCGATAAGGATATTTGAGTTTACCCTTAAGTTCAGTCGCTGGGTTTTTGATGACCTTGCTTTTCTTGAAGACCCTTAACTTTCCTGTTTCTTCACTAGTGAAGACCTGACTCGAAAACATGTAACAACGAAGAAATTGTTTTGGCCGGTCTAATTCCAAATCCCCGCAAATGTTACTATTTGAGCACAGAACACTGGGGCGGAGAAAAAGAGAACAGAAAACAGCTGTTAGAATCAGTCAAGGAAATTGCCCTACCAGAGGAATGGGATATGTTTCTACAGTTTATGAATGAGTTCATCGTTCCCGTCAGAGTTTTCAACTTTTTCCTGGAGGTAGTGGTAGAAAATGTGTAAAGGAGAGGATTGATGGAGGAATTCACGGGAAGAAAAAAAACTGCCATCCAAACATACACAAGCTGCTTTGGGTCATACAGGTTTCCTTTTAAAGATAATATTCCAATGATTACGATGACTGGCATCCAACAAAAAATGTCTGTGAGGATTATGAACATTATTTTTGTCGCCATAGCAGTCTCGTTTCTAACGCTGGTCGATCTGACGCTCCGCCGATTTTCTTTACCGTAACGAACATGGCAATGTAAGCACCAAGCATAAACATGAAGGCCACGAAATTAAAGGCGATGAAGAAAGAGATCGAATACTTCCAACCTGCTGGTCTGTCAGATGACAACTGGAGAGGAAGACACATGGCCGAACGACCATAAAAACCAACGCATGATTCCTAAAAGCCACATAACTGTGCGCAAAAAACATGTACGATTGAAAGAATACCTCTTGAATCTGAATGGAAACACTATGCAAACAAGTCGGTCAGCTGTGATAATTGTCAGCATTGCCACAGACACCTCACTTGAAACCATGGACAAAACTCCGGCAAACTGACACAATTTACCGGTCCTCCAGGATGCGTCATGTTTAAAATACACTCCTTGCCACTGACTGTCTTTAATGGCGATTATTAATAAGTACATCCCATAAGAAAATCAGATACCGCTAAATTTGTTAAGAGGAATGAGTGAACTCGATTATCTTCCTCCAAGAAACATCTCCATATTACCACAATCAAATTCCTTGCAAATGCTGAGATTCCAAGGATCCATATGAAAATCTGAAGATTTTTGTTTTTCATAAGGCCATCACAGCTTTAGAAACCATCTGCAGGAGCATCACAATGTATTTGAGGAATGGCTTTAACAGCATAACAGCAATGAGTGAAATGATCCATCGCGCTGAAAAAAAGCAGTATCTTGCTCATTACAGGTCTGAATAAGGAGCAGATTATAACCGAGCCGAGGATGTTTTCTTGAGTTTTCTGATTACATAGGTGATAAGTAAAAGTTTATTTAATGATTTGTACCAAGTACTGGAGCAGAAAAAATAGGAGATGGGTCCCCTACGAGGTTTAAGCTCCAACAAACCCACCCATCCCACCCCAGGGGAGGACATCCATCACACAGTGCGTGGGAAATTAACGTCTCCTACCCCTAACCCTGCAGGAGACGGGA